CATGTACTTGTCAAGACAAGCCTTACCAATATTAAAGAAAGTATTATTAATAACAAAGATTTTGAATACACAGAAATTGATTTTAAACATGACATTATTGGACTTCAATTAATTCATTGTAAAAATGCATTTAGAAGAGAGGAAGTATGTAAAATATTAAGAAAGCCATATTATGGAGATAATGTTATTGCAGTTTATGGAAAATATTATCCAATTGTTTATAGATCATTAGAAAGTTTAAATAAAAATGAATTTATTTCAGCTCTTCCAGACACACGAAATATTGAACATTTTTGTACCAATCCATTTAATGAGAAATATGTTTTATTATCTGATTCATTTGGTAGAATTCTTGTTTTTGATTCTATCAATAGATTTATTGTAAAGACTATCCCTGCAATGAGAGAGGCACAGATGTGTTGGATAGATGAGAAGAAATTTATCATTTATTCCAAATTCAGGAATATTTTAGAAATACATAATTGTCAAGAACAAAAAAGAATATCATTTATTGAATTTAATGAACAAGATGTAGTCTCTATTCTTGGTTTTAGAGTTAACAGAGTTGTTATCTGTTTAAATAATAATGTGTATATTCTTTGTTTTTCATAATTGACTTTAACTTAAATGATATGTTTTATTTTATGTATTATTGAATAATCTAATTCATAATACAAATAATTCAATTTAACTTTATAACTACAATTCTTTTAACAATAAATTTCTTCATATCAGTAAAGAATGAGTTTGGAAAAAGAAAGTTCAAAAAGTAGGAATAACTGTTTTTTGTTCCTTCTTTTCCAATAACTAATTTACAACATCCAGTTCCAATACTTAAAATCATTTGTTCATTATTACAAATAGAAATCATATACTCTTCATTATTAATAGGTTGTAAGCGTTCATAAGTACCAATTGAATTATTTACCCATAAACATTGATTAGATAAATATTTTGAACAACCAAATATCCTTTCTTTTTCATCAACACAAATAATTCCCCATTTATTCTCTTTTCTTAATACTTCTTTTATATTACATTGACTTATCTCAGTGTCATAAATAACTGTTGCTTTACAATTATTCCATTCTTCCATTTTTATAATTCCTTTTTCTAAATCATTATTGGAATAATTAAAGTTGATTTGTTCTGTTATTTGGTTTGTCGAGACATTAACAAGCTGGTTAATAATACTAACAATTTCTAAAAGAATTTTTCTTATTGAAGGGTCTATAATGAGATTGATGTCAGCGATGAGTTTGTTAAATTGATAAGTGGTACTCATAATTATCTTGGAATGATAAAACAATTTATGTTCACATTTTTCTTTTAAAAAAAATATGAAACAAAACAAAAATAAAAAATATAGAATGAATGAAGTGGAGATATAAATTGTAAAATGGTACAGAAAGCATTTAGAATTCGAATTCAAAGAATGAGTCTTGATATACAGGACTTTGTTTTATGCAAGTATTTAATTCATAGTCAAATGTATTGTCATCATCATCATCAATTATTGATGCATCATTAGGAAGAGGAGAAAATACACGTTGAGGAAATATTGGTGAAAGTGGAGATTCATTACATTGACTCATAGTTTGTAATGAATTTGGACTTTGTTCATTTGTAGAACTTGTTGATGAATTTAATAAAGAAATATCACATTTGAATATAACAATAGGTTTGATTACTTGCATAATAAAAAGAAGTAAAATAAC